CTGCTGCCCTCCTACCATCTCTCCTCACATCCTTTGTGCTTCTGTTTATTGTACATTTTACAGCTTAGGCAGCGCTGCTCTGCGATTGTTCACTTTTAACCACAGGCAGAAAGTTCACGTTAAAGGACAGACGGATAAAAGTAGCAGCCGACCCTGATCTGTCTTATCTCATCACACCCTCATCACCCACCTCCACCCTCTACAACTCTAACCTCAGGCAGCAGTGATCCAGCTTCCTGCCGGGAAGTTGGAGATTGTCTCCTCAAGAAAAGAAATGCAGAGATTCTGACACCTTTCTCCAAACAAATATTAAGTATTGGACTCAAGCACAAACATCAGGAGAGCACACTGAAAAGCTCATCCTCTCTGTTTTAGCTAGACAGCATCATTCCTTCTACAGGCAAAACCCCATAATGAGTCTGCTTGACCTGGTTAGAAAAAGCTTGTTTAACACCTTATTGATCAGCTTCACTTCCTGTGCTCCTTTGCCCACAAACATCAGTCAAGTTTCCATTTCCTCCATTGCCTCCCACTCTGTGCTTAGCTGAGGATCATTTGTGTTTCATGCATAGATCATGTGCATGGAGAGAAAAAAATATATGTAAGATCTGTTTTCTTGTCTAGCTGTGGCTAAGGACTGTGAAACACTTGTGAATGCAGATTTTGTTATACCTCAATAAGCAAAAAACATTCTTTGAAATCCCACCATAACCACAGAGGTCAAAGAAGAAACAAAATGTCTTGTATTACAGTTGCAAATGTGACACAACATCACGTACTATTGTTATCACACAAAATGGTCTGGTTTTGGTGTCAGTAAAGAGGAATTAACTAATAATATTTATATATTTTCTATAATTAGAATTCAGTTTATTAATAAGATACATACTTTGAGCTCAACTAAAGGTTTAGAGATATTACACTACTGACCAGAAGAGGTTTGCATTATTTTTACTTCCACGATGTAAAAATATACTTTGAGCTAAGCAGTTAATGCAAATATCTTAGTGATAATCCATGCATTGGATTTGCTTTGCTAAGGGTACAACAGTTAGACTGTGCAAACCCAGTTAATCTAAAAAAACAAAACTCCACTATTTAACCCTGATTGCAACCATGTGGATGCCCTCTTTTTGCAACTTGTCAATAATCTACACCTGAGAGAATCAGAGGATCCGGAAAACAACAAACACAAAAACAAAAAATTTAAGCTCAGAAAATAAGGAGGGAATTTGCAGAAGTGGAAATTTGGTTACAAAATTTTAGGCTTTTCTGTGCAAAAAAAGCATGCATTTAAAATGACATTTTTAATAGATTCAGTAGACATTTTGCTGAATATATAAACACTGTGAATATATTAACAGGTTATATGTCGTGATTATGAAAAGACACAATGAAAAGATCAACTTCTTTTAACAAAAAAAAAAAGCATTGAGAAGCACAAAACTAACTCTGCAGGATTTTCTTGTTTTTTTGTGGAATGGGGTTAAAGTCAATTTGCAGGGAGGACGGATTTCTTCTAAAGCTGTGAGCAGAAGAGACATGCGACCTAAGCCCACTGTTTAAAGTACAGACGGAGTTAAGCCAGCCCGACTCCAGGCTCTCTTTCAAGAGAAGCGACTAAATCTCCTCTATTTCTGTCAACATTAACTTCCTCCATTTTGAATTATTTGCAAAATAAAGGAGATTTTGGATGCTTGTTTTTTCTTTCATTTTTTTTTCCCTCTTTTTTTTCCTCTTAATTTCAAGAACTTCTAAAGTGTAAAAAAAAAACAGTCATGTGCATTTCCTTCTTTGTTTTAGGGAGATCTTGGTCACACTGTTCTGACTAAATACTGCTTGCAAAAATCTAAAATGCCAAAATTACGTATCCCGTTTTTGGTATGACTATCAGGGCTGATGTCCCAGATTCTCCAACTCTGCAGCACTGTTCTTTTATATGTAGAAGAAAAAAGTGAAGGGCAGATATTTCATCAACTCCACACGCTCTGTGTGTATTTTGTGTTTATAGTTGAAACAGGTTAGTGTTTTCCTGTCTGAACGGATTAGCAGACACACACAAATATCAGTGATTCATAGGTACAACTAAAAAACAAACAGCAGACAGGCAGTGTGGTCTAGTGGAGCCAGAGGGATTTATTTTTAATTCATTATTAGCACACTTTTATCTGTGCTTTATGGCTTTATATGTTGCAGATCAGATGGTAAACAAGGGATGGAAAGTCCCAACCTCACTCAACTCAGAGCATGAGAACCATTCGAACGTGTTGTTAATGACTTCCCTAGTGTAATCCTGGGTCTGAAGGAGAAGCGCCTCAGACCACTTAGCCTTTTTGGGGTCTTTTTCCCTTTGAAGACAGATCTGCAGACATGAGATTCTTAAATGTCAAACAGGTATATCCTCGGTATTGAACCTGTCTTTTGTCACGTACCTGCAAAGTTCAAGCACAGTTTAGGAGACCACATCAGAACTCAAAAATCAAAGTATGTGACAGTTTTTGTTTTGTTTTTTCCTGTTGTGAATGCACAGTGTATATCCATATGAAAGCCTTTGCATAAGTAAAGAAAAAAAATATATATATCGTCATGCTCTTTTTTACTTTTGTTGACTTGATATTTAACGTCTATGTCAGCAGATGTGTGTCAGCATTTATCTTAATAAAATCTGCTTACCAGAACACATCAAGCTGGTTATTCATTACAGTTTCCTGTGTAATTTGTACAGAAACCAAAATGCAGTTCAGGACAAGACTTAATTAGAATAGCAGTTTCCGCTCTCACCTTTATACTCTTACTAACTACTCCACTTTACTACAGAAACACTCTACTAAAATGCAACATCAGCGTCATCTCAGCAGGCAAGCCTCATAAACAGCTGGACTATCCCATAGTGTAAAATTGGCTCTGCTAGCATGTGAAGAAACACTCGTCAGGGATGAAGGGGTGGGTACAGGAGGTTGCTAATAACAGCTGCCAGATGTGCCGAGTCCCCCGAGTCGCGTCCACATTCTCACAGACAATGGAATGCTTGTGAGGAGCCCCAACAGGAAGTGAGGTCAGGCCTCTTGACCCCTCCCCTGAAGGCCCAGTGAGGGATGTAGCAGTGGGGCAGCTTTTAGCAAAGCAAGCCCCTGAAAATGTGCCGCAGTAAACCCACAGACATTGAGCCAGGCACTACATAAAGGCTCTCTGCAGCATAGCAGTGAGCTTAGTTAACCTCTTTCTTTTTGTTTTGTTTTATTAACTTAAAAATTGTGACTTAAAAAAAATCTGTGGCTGGGCTTTAAAAACTATAGTAAGAAGAAATTTCACAATGTTTTTTTCCATAAAGGAAATATCACAAGTTTGATCAGTGCAGACATGCTGCAATGCATCAGGAAACTATAGAAACCTATGTTCCTCCATAAAACTTAATCTTCAGGTGAGGTGTGGGTTTGGATAGGAACGTGTAAATTCCCGTCAAATTTATTCTGACATCATTTAGCCTATGAGTCAGAGATGGAAGTAAGATGGGTAAATCTACAGAGTTTTGAAGAAGTGCCATCTGCTTCCTGTACCCAGTCTGTGGTCAATTTCCAAAGTAAATGAAAGCTGCCTGCTGTCACGCAAACCTATCATTTTCCATTTTCAGTTTTCATTGTATGGAAATACTTCAGAATTTTGACAAGGAAAACTGTTTATGCATTGTTGATTCGTAAAACTTCACAAATCTTCAAAAAAAAAAAAATGTGTATTTTTTTTACACAGAAGCCAGGCACAGATGTTTTGCAAGTTCAGTAATGCATGACAACATTAAGAAGCTCCTTCTTTTCATAGACGCATGACATCACTGCCACAAGGGATGACTTTTAGGTTAATGACTGAAGACATTATTACCTCCTCAGAGGAGGCTGGATAGAGGCTCTTTCTCTGTAGACAGCACCTGCAGCCTCAGACATGACCCTGATGACTAACATGCACTCACCTCCTCTCCATTACACCTGAAATGGATCAGATTTCCAATGCAAATTGGATCTCAAAATAAATGTAAACTGATTTCATAACATACAATAAAATTCATATAATTTCCATGACGTTTTGGAGGAAACATTTCCATCTGTAGTTGAAATGAATAATCCTTATGCTGTGTTTGTTGTGATCTCTCATATAAATATAGAATATCAGAAATACTAATACTAATTAGCAACCTCCTAAACTCAATAAAAATGGCTTACATTAAAAAGCATTCATAACTATAGCTTAAGAGAGAGAATTTCAACCATTAATTATCAGTTTATAAATAATTACCTCATACAATAAACTGTAAACCCCCTTTTGTAAACATACTGCTGCTGTTTTTGAAAGCAGTTATACTGAGTGGGTTGCTATGTCAATAAACAAGAAACTAAGTGAACAGGGTTCTGAGGTGGAACATGGTGACTGGATCATGCCAAGTTAGGTTTGATGTCATTCCCAAAAAGTTCTAGTTTCAGAGGTATCTGAAACCGACAGGTGGTTTCACTGTAGGTTTTTCAAACTTTTTTCCACAGTGCTTCTCTTTAGGGAGGTTTCCACACAAAAATGTAAATTTGTTTCAGTTTTTTATTTTTCTGGAAACCCCCAATTTTCCATAAAAGCCTTTTCTGATGTACCCTACAGCAAAGTCAAACTCATATCAATGTATTTATTTAAAAAATGTCCATTTTGGTTCAAGTTCTAATGAAATAAAAGCAAATACTTTTATAATCCCAGCTGATGGAAAGTAACAGATATTTGAACAACCCACTTGGCACAGGTTGTTCCTGTTAAAGCACCACCAGTCTTGCTCCAGTTTGAGAGCCTTAATGCTTGGAACAAAAAGAAAAAGGAAGTGAGGAGGTGGAACATCTGGACTTCATTTTGTGTTCAAAGTGGTTAAAAAACCTCCAGAAATAGGCTTAAGTTGTATTTTTTCCAAATATATTGCTCTCCGCCAATCTGCGCTGTTAGTTAAAACCGTCAGCGCGACTTGTGATGTTTCCACACACCCCACTCTCTCTCCACGCTGTGTGGGTGTGCGTTTTTGCGCGTGTGCGCAGTCTATTGTGTGTGCGCCTCCTTGAAGCTCCTCAGCCCCGTGGAGCTGTTGTTTCCACAGAGCTGCGGGACAATCAGTCGGGCGGCTGGATTTAGGGAAGACAAAAGAGAAAGTGAGATTTCTGCTTTTTTTCCCAACCCGTCTCTTTATGGGTTTCGCATCTGTTTGGTTCGCATCAGTTCCCGTTTTTAGAGGATTCATCGCGCTCTCACCGGCGTGGATCTAGTTTCCACAGACTAGACAAGACATGCAGTCTAGTCATCCGGTAAAGTTTTGATTGACATCGCTGGTTCTCCACCTCAGAGCGGAGAACTTTTAACGCTGAGTTTTCAGTTTTTTGGGGACATTTGGACGCGGTTTCTCTATCGCTTCACGCTCTCTTTCTCATGGGGTAAGTTGTGCGCCCTTCTCTTTATATATATAGCCTATATATATACATTATAAAAGCATGTGCTGTAGCCTCAAACAACAAGGTTAATTTGCATCTGGATGAGTCAAACGCGTGTAATTATCAACTGAATCTCTACAGTCACGTTGAATTCTGGAAATGTTTCGCCTTCACATGACAGCATCGCCCCCATTCAACACTTCCAGTTCCAGTCCCCGCTGCAGCCACTATGCGGGTACCGTCATGTGACAGATGTGCTTACAAAACTTTGTGAGTCTTTACAAAAAAAAAAAAAAACACTTTATAGTTTTGAATAGACCTACATCTGTCCAGCAGAGCCTGTTGCATCATTTCCAGACAGTAAAAGCTGTATTGGTGGGGGGACATGCATGTTCCCAGCTCCTTGGAGCCTGCTGTGCCCCCCCTCATCCCCACCCCCACCTTCTGACCCCATCCGATGCTGTTGAGGCTTGTTCATCCGTCACTCTAAAGAAAGCATTGCATTGAAAGGATGTATTAATAAGACAAAAGCCCCCATTATCCCTGTGTACAGGAGTTAATCGCTTGGGGTTTGGAAATGGGCTTCTCTGAGAGCTCCAGTTTAGAGATTCTGCAAGCAGTAACTTATCAGAACCCCATGTCAGCAGAAATTAACATTGCACAATTTCATAATGCATAGAATGTTAACATGCAGTTGAGTCATTTTGGTCTTGTCCAAAGGCTCTGGATTCTGGGCAAAACTGTCTGCTTTTCTTTTTCTTAAAAAGTTTGTTTTGGTGAGGAAGGAAACATAGGTGTCAGTGATCCAGAAATTGTCTTGGGAGAATCCTCAAGTCACGGAGTGATAAGATGATAAGAAAGAGGAACTGATGTTTATTGTCCTGATAAAAAGCCTGCATCCTCTTGCCTGTACTCTGTGCTTTGCCTGGTTCATTCTGCACAGTGTGAGGCTCATTATAAGGCTGTCTGAAACTGACTAGGCTCTTGAAGGCTTTATTTAAACTCAAAGCTGCAGTTGTGTGGGAAAAAATTAAACAAGTCATGCACACAGGGATGCTAAAAATCTTGTTTAGTTCTAGCCAGCATCTAGGTGTGATAAAATCAGGAGTGAGGGGTGAAGAGGAAGAACCATCAGCATAGTTTGGATAAGACTATCCAGTGTCGAAGTGGCTGTCAACAGACTGAGTGATGCTGCAGTTGTGCAAAAGGCTGCTGTCTTTGTTTGGGGCATGCATGACCACCTATGGTCATGACCGTTTTGAGGCAGAGGGCAGATGGATGCAGCGAACAGTCAGTCAGTTTTGGGTTTGTGTGATCATATGGCTCACTGGGCCTGAAACAAACAGCCATCACATTCCCAGACCTGACTGCTGCTTGGCTTTTCAACACTTGCCATACAGCATCGCTAAAGGGTACTATGAAAAGCTTCACTAGTTTGACCCCAACTTCTCACCTCAAGGCAGCCTGTCAAAGAGACAAAGCAATCTTACCTGGCTCAACAGAGCTGAGTTGACTCTTGTCAGCAGGCCATTACCTCAGAGTTCAGGATCTGTGTGCTCTTGGCCCTGCTCGATATACTCATTGCCTCTGTATTCCCTTAAAAGATGACTGCAGTAATTTGAGCCCTCTCTGTGGGGACGGCTATGGGGTAGCGTGAGAAATGAAGACAAGTAGATGACCTGAATCAATAAATAGATGTATAAGTGCATGCATGGATAAATAAATTAATAGAATTTGAGTGGTGGGAACTAGAATTGTGGGATTTTTTTTATTGGGCCAGCTCACAAGGGGATTGAAGGCGGGATGGATTTTGGATGGGTGGCGTCCATCACTGATGAGTGCTCACGTTTCAGCCAAGGCCTGGGAGAGGTCCGTTTATAGGAAGCAGCAAGAAGGCTTTTCCTCTGGGAGTTTTTTTTTTTTTCTTTGTTATTTTCTCCCCCCATTTCACTGAGTCGGATCAAATGAGCCGCATCTCCAAAAGATGGCTGCATGGAGCCACCTGCTAGCTCTGGCCTGTTTTTTATCTGGGTAACCATTAATAGGTCCTATTAATAAGTTGCAAGAGGTTCCTCCACTCAGACAGAGCAGAAACCACAGAATTTAGCAGCAAAAATGTAAACGCTAACAGATTTTTTTTTTGGGGGGGGGGGTTGCACAGTGATATGAAGAATGATCTTAGACAGCCACCCGGGTTCTGAGTGCTAAGAGTTCTTGCTGGTTCTCCCTTTAACAGAAAAACAGTTTCCTTGGGTGTGGCTGCTGGAGCAAAATAAACGCCTTCTGTTCGCAAGCTGCTGAAGTGCAAGTCACAACACACAGCTGACAGCATGTAGCCTTCTGACTCACAGCCTGGAGCTGGGAGTGTTTCCAATTGGAGGAATAAATATGGGGCTCTTTACTTTTGTTCCCATTTTATAAACACAGCTAAGAGAAGGAGGCGCTTACTCTTCCTTGGCAGGTAGAAGTATACATATGAACATTCACTGACCTTATCTTTCTTCTCTTTATTAAAACAACCCTTCTTAAATTTAAAATGAAGCTCTGATTATTTTATAAATATTTACATTCACTAATATTTGGAGGAGGGGGAAAAATGTGTTTGGTGATTTTATTCCAGTAAAAAAACTTTTTGGCGTAAACGTGTGCTGCTACATTCCTCTTCCTCTTAAAGTACTTGGATTAGCCACAGGACCCCCCATGACCAGGAACTGATGCTTGTAGCAGCATGTCAGGATTTCCTAATGCTTTCCAACATGAGGATAACGCGTCCCTCCTGTTCAGGATCGGATCAAACCTCAATCACATAAAGCTGCAAGATGAGAGACGTGACGAAAATACTTTGATCTGAGGTCTAATTTTCCTGCGTAGGTAATTGCTCATTGTTAGATGTAGACAAGCATATTGTCCCACCTCCAGGGACAGTGACAAGGAGACTGAATGCAGGGTTTCTGGTTTGCTCTGTGGCTTCAATGGGATCAGCAGCACTTTGCAATCTCTGTTTAGGCTGAGCTATGATTTATGACCTGGATGGGGAAAAAACTCGTCTGCTCTGGCTGCAGCCTTAATCGGTGTGGTCATGTCGTGGTTTCTTGATTTCTGGTCATTCTTAGGGCTCACTCTTGAGTGATTCTTTAAAAGGCAGGTACGCATGAAGATGCTGCTGCTTTCTGCAGACCTCCTTGTTTCTCCATGGGAAGTCTTTGTTATGCAGCTTGTTTGTACAGCTGGAGAACTCAACAGGATCACTTCAAAACCCCACCTCCAGAGACCCCAGGATATTTTGGAGAAAGTCTTGGATGTTGATTATCCCTGTGCTGCCAATCAGAGTCTGCTGAAGCTAATCCTTTTATTTGTCTGTCATTCCCATGAGCTTCTCTGTTCATTAGATTTTCTAATGAATAACAGACCTTAAAAATACAGTCCAACCATGCATCATTTGGTAGCAGAAAGTGCATCTGCTTTTTGAAATTAGTAGACAGAAGAGCTTCACTAAAAGCCACCCACAAGAAGGGTCACGGCAGAGGTTAGACAGTTCTCTTAGAACAGACAGTTTCAGTAGAAGTGGAGGCATTTTGTGAAACTGACAAACATGCAAAGGCATCCACTTTAGATGAGCCTTGCCAGACAGTTGAAGTTGGGGAATTGGCTTGTTCTTTTGATTAATGCTACACCACTGCGCTGGTCATCATCAGCTTGTCTGCCATACGCAGCCAGTCTAAAAGTCTAAGAGACTCCGCACAGGATTTAATTTGGGGCCCATATTCCATCATCTTTGTCCTCCTTTTTTCCTAATGTCAATACTTAATTTTTTTTGTTTTTTTCCTTTTCATTTTTGCCCTTTCAAATCTAATAAATGGTGTCCAATAAAGGCTATTACTCATTAGCAGAGGTAAAGTTTACATGAAATGTTTGCGCAGCTTTGACATAAAGCAGCTGGAGAGATGAACTGATCTTTAAATAATGACTGTTAACAGTTCATCAGAGGTTTTCCTTTGTATGCGAACTGGGGTTTTTGCTGCATTCGTGCAGAAGGTTTTCAGTGCAGCCTTTTTTAGTTCGGTGCAAAGGTGTAACCAACGGATACAACTTAAAACCTATACAGATGCAGAATGTTTTGTGCATGGGACTAAAGTGCACAAATCCATCCCCAGCAATCGTTAAAGTTTCTCATTCAGCTACATTGGCTATGGAGACAAATAGCATCATAGAACCAAAGCTATCAGCGATCAGGTATGAGGTTCACCGTTCACTGAACTTAATTACTGACTTAAAACAACAACAAAAACCTCAACATCATACTGATATGGAGGAAAATCATCTTAAGCAGACGTGTGAGTGCAACTGTATTTTGTTAAAAAAGGGGTCTGTAGTTGGCAGTTGTAGCTAAATCTTGATTAGTTCTCTACTGTGGTCATTTTAAGATGTGAAATGTGATAATATAAACAATGTAAACATTCCTCATTCGCTCTTGCATAGAGCTAACAAATGTGTGCATCGTTTGCCTAGACTGAAAAGTACTGAAACCTATCCGAACCTTGGCAATAATACCAAGGTACAGGGGGGATCCCAGGCAGCTTTACATGTTGCTTGTGTATTCGTGTATTCTGATTTTCACATGACTCTAGATAAAAAGCTCTTAAAAGCAAACTAACAAAAGCAGATCCCTAAAATGGATAGCAACTGGAGAGTATATGGGCAATGTTCCCTTTTCAGGGAACTGTGTTTTTGTTCTCCCCTCCATTAAAACAGGGCTTTGTTTAATGGATCTTCTTTTCCAAAGGAGTCTTTTAAGCATTTCCTATAAAGACCAATTAAAAGGAAAGATCAGATGCTCTGTCAAGTCAGATATAGATTAGTGGCCATTAGGTAAATGCAGTTGGGAATGCATTTTGATTTGTTATAATAGATTTTGTAGATGTAATTTTTCACCTGAATAGGCTCCAATATTAATTATGTTTTTCTATTCCTCTTTTGTTTACAAAATACACACTCTGTAACAT